AGACTCCGTTGACCAACCAAACCATAATAAACAGAATATGCTCTAGGCATCAATAAGCACTATATTCCTTAATTAATTAATATCTAATGCAATCCTTGAGTCTAGGGGGTTCCTTCCTCACACGCTGGTTCCTTTGTATTGCAACATTCGCCCCCCCTTGGACTACAACCTTGTCCTCAAGTTTGAAATCAGGGAAATCATGCTGAAAATCAACCACAGACTCCCACGTTGCATCGCATTCCGGCTGCTTTTGCCATTGTACTAGGATCTGGGGCACCGTATGGCCTTGCTGGAGAACTCGACGAGTGCCTAATATCTGGGCTGGAAGCAGCAAAGGACGATCATCAATAAACTCCAGAGGTAACGGGTTAGTTGTCCCTGCCATATCAACTAGAGCCTTTTTCAGCAATGATACATGGAAAACATTGTGTATCTTGGCTGTTGGAGGAAGCTGCAGGCGGTATGCAACTTTGCCAATTCTTTCAGTGACGCGGAAGGGGCCGTAGAAGCGCTTGGCAAGCTTCTGAGACTGTCGGTGAGCTAATGATGATTGGCGATAGGGTTGCAACTTCAACCAAACGATGTCGCCAACCTGGAATGTAACGTCTGTGTACCGGCTATTGGCTTGGTTACGCATTCTGTTTTGGGCGCGCTGAAGATTGGTCTTGAGCTGAGCAATGAGGGCAGTGCGTTGAGTGAGGATGTCGTCCACGGAGGCAACAGCCGCAGACCCACCAACATAATCCAACAGAGAAGGTGGGGGGGGGACGCCCAAAAACAGCTTCAAAGGGGGTCATTTTTATGGCTGAATGCCAGGCGGTATTATAATGCCACTCGGCCCAGGGGAGAAATTTCAGCCATTGCTTAGGTTGACTTGCGATGAAACAGCGTAAATAATCCTCTAAATAGTGGTTAAGGGCCTCAGATTGACCTTCCGTTTGAGGGTGGTATGCACTACTGGTCGCTAAAGTCGTGCCTTGTAATCTAAACAACTCGTGCCAAAAATGACTCATAAAGACAGGGTCACGATCCGAAACAATAACAGATGGAAAACCATGTAATTTAGTCACGTCTTGTACAAATACCTCAGCCACTTGGGCAGCAGAAAGATGGGTATTTAAGGCTGAAAAATGAGCATGTTTAGACAGACGATAAATGACAACAAGGATAACAGTTTTACCGGACACCGCAGGGAGATGCGTGATGAAATCCATGGCAATCTCATCCTATATTTTGCCTGGAATTGGAAGGGGTTGGAGAAGGCCTTGTGGTGCTTGATGGAACGGGTTTGTAGCTTGGCATATGGTACAGCGAGCAACGTAATTCTTCACTGAAGCTCGCATCTGAGGCCAATAAAAAACAGCAGCAATGCGGTTAAGTGTGCGTTGCACGCCAGCGTGGCCCCCTACTGGGGAGTTGTGCAATTCCGCTAAGATCAATGGTTCAAAACCCGACTCGGGAGGTATGACTGCCCGATCTTTGAAGAATAGTAGGCCATCCCGAATGCGATAATGTGGAAACTTAGATGGTTCAGCTTGGATATCCGTCAACACTTGGGAAGCTAATGGATTCGTGGAGTAAAATTCCTTGAGACCCGGCCAGAGAGCTAAGATTGGTTGGGATGCTGTCATTGCCGAGAGGAAGGCCTCTAAGGAGTGGCGAGACAGAGCATCCGCTGGTCCATTCTCAGTTCCCGGTTTATACTCAATGTCAAAATCAAATCCGAGTAGCTTGGTGATCCACTTTTGTTGTTCTGGAGTTTGAATTGTCTGGTGAAGCATGCAGCGGAGACTTTTGTGATCGGTTTGGATGACAAACCGCCGACCAAGAAGGTATTGGCGCCATATGCGGACTGCTTCGGTGATGGCATACATCTCGCGCACATAAGTGGAAGAAGCTTGCAACCGGGGTGAAAGTTGTTTACTAAAGAAGGCCAGAGGGTGACCATTCTAGGTGAGGACAGCACCCACCCCCGTTCCCGAGGCATCTGTTTGAATCACAAAGGGCTGGGAGAAATTTGGCAGGGATAATACTGGGGGTTGGAGCATGGCTTGTTTCAAAGCTTCGAATGCTCCGGTAGCCTCAGCTAACCAGATAAATGCCTGTTTACACAATAATTGGGTCAGAGGAGCTGTGAGGGCAGCATAATTTTTTATAAAATGCCGGTAGTAGCCCGTGAGTCCCAAAAACCCGCGTAACTGTTTCACCGTGCCAGGTAAAGGCCAATTCTGGAATGCAGATAACTTCTCCAGATCGGCCGAAACGCCATTAGCAGTAATAACATAGCCCAGGTAGTGGATTGTTGTGCAGCCAAATTCACACTTGGAGAGTTTAGGAACTAAGGAATGTTGTGACAGAAGGGAAAACACGATGTGAAGATGTTGGAGATGGGCCTCCCACGATTCACTATACACCAAGATATCGTCAAAAAACACAATCACAAAGCGACGAAGCACCGACTTAAAAACGGTGTTCATCAATGCCTGAAAAGTGGAGGGGGCATTGGAGAGGCCAAACGGCATTACCAAAAATTCATAGTGACCTTCGTGTGTCCGGAAGGCCGTCTTCTCGACGTCGGCAAGATGGATGCGTACCTGATGATAACCGGCGAGAAGGTCGATTTTGGAAAAGACTCGGGCACCGAAAAGCTCATCCAAAAGCTCATCTACAGCAGGAATTGGGGAATCGATCTTTGATGGTGACTACGTTGAGGGCCCGATAATCTGCGCAAAAGCGCCAGGAGCCGTCTTTCTTCTTGGTCAATAAGGCTGGGGCCGAATAAGGGTTACAACTTGGACGAATAAGACCCCCTGAAAGCATATTGCCGATAAGACGTTCCAACTCCATTTTCTGGAAGTGGGGATAGCGATAAGGTTTAACGTTGACCAGAGCTGTATTGGGAAGGAGGGAAATCCGGTGATCGGTGTCCCGGGCTGGGGGAAGGACGGAAGGAGGTTGGAAGATGGTACCAAATTGTTGGCATAAGGTTTGAAGGTTGGTGGTGAAGGAAGACGGTGAGATTGGGTTGATGGGTTGGGAAGCAGGCGGGTTGTCTGGGTGGTAAGTAATGCTAAGATGAAAATATTGAGCTTCATCATGGGCTTCAGTCCCCCTTTTTACTGTGCTAGTAAGGATTAAAGAAATAGAAGGCTGAGTTAAGCCTACCAGCCGAGTAGGATTACCTTGGTATTGAAATTCCATCCACAAGTGTTTGTAATCAAACCAAATGGGCCCAAGTTCTGCTAGCCACTGGACACCCAAAATGACATCCGTCCCAAAAATGGGTAATACAAACAGATCCACTGTGAAGTGGGCCTTGTCCAGACCGAGATCGATTTGGCGGCAATTCCGGCACAGCCCAAGGTGTCTCCGTTCCCCACTGTCACGCGCAAATGGGAAGATGCTTGTACGGTCAAACCCAAATGTTGGGCAAGACGAGATTGGATAAAGTTGTGGGTGGATCCACCGTCAATCAGAACCACGACATCCCTGCCCTTAATCGAGCCGGCGAGTTTCAGAGTAGAGGGCACCGCCTGTCCGGTCAGAGCATGGAAGGAGATCTGGGGTTCGGTTTCCGGCAGGAGTTCGGGCGGGGATGTGATGGAACCTTCTGTGTCAGGAGACTCCGGTGGCTCATCATCGTTGTCGGCTAGAAAGCAGAGAAACAGAGCCGGTTTACAGCGATGTCCAGGTGAGAACGATTCGTCACAATTGTAGCACAAGCCTTTGGCACGGCGGGCCGCCATTTCTCCCGCCGTCAGCCGCCGGATGGGAAGATTTTTGGGGTTAAAGGGTTTGGGGCTGGAGGAGGAGGGAGTAGGTGATGATGGTGGCGGCGGGGAATAGGCTTTTGCTGAGAGCGGGCGGGGCGAAAAAACCCGACCCGCATTGCATTTATCCTCAATTAATTTGGCCATGCCCATAGCTTGTTGCAAGGATGTGGGATTGAGAAGAGAGAGCTCCCTCTGGATGTCTTCTCATAGGCCCGAGATAAAGCAATTAAGGAGGTTGTCGGTGCTTAAGCCGGAGGTAAGGGTTGAGATTGCTTCAAACTGACCCAGGTAATGAGCAACAGACGAAGTTTGCCGGAGCTTATATAGCTGAGCTTCGTGGTTAATAAATTGTGACGGTCTAAACCGAAGTTCAAGCTGTTGAGTGAAATTCTCCCATGTAGACAGTTGATTGGTTGTATATAACCAATGGAACCACTGCAGAGCAGGGCCAGACATGTAAGAGGCTGCGATTTGGAGGCGTTGATCAGGGGGAGTGGAGTGAAAGTTAAAGAAATGGTTGATCTGGAACAACCAACCCCGGGGATTGTCACCGGTAAAAAAGGGAATTTCAAGTTTAGGGAGCTTGGGGGAGGTAACGGAGGTTAGATCTGGGAAAGGTGGTGGGGAGTACTGTGAAGGCCCCGCCGGAAAAAACAATCGGGGCCGGAAGGGGGGCATCGGTGGTGTAGATGTGGATGTTGGTATGGGTGGTGGAGGCGGAGGGGGTGGTGGCGACAGAGATGGAGAACGGGCTAGTAATTCAGCAAGGGTGGTCTGAATGGTTTGGAGAGTGGTTGAGTGATTAGAGATCTGATCTTGCAACTGTTGCAGATCTGAAGGTACCATATTGGGTTCTGGGTGTTCTTCGGTGGCTTTGGAGCGAGTATTGTGCTTGCCGTCAACCATGGTGGAGTTCGACTCAAAGAAAGCACCAATTGATGCCGGCCGGAATCAAGAATGTAAAGTGCAGGAGAAGCAAATAAAAAAACGACAGCAAGGAAGTAAAGGCAAGAAAAAAATAAGACAGCAAAATAACTTTTTCTTCTGTTTTTCCTTTTGCTACTCTTGTCCATACATATATAGTCTCATATAGATAATGTCTCACATGTCACTAACGGTAGACAGACTCCGTTGACCAACCAAACCATAATAAACAGAATATGCTCTAGGCATCAATAAGCACTATATTCCTTAATTAATTAATATCTAATGCAATCCTTGAGTCTAGCGGGTTCCTTCCTCACACGCTGGCACAAAATGCTTCAATCAGTTACTTGGATAAATTGAACATGATGTTACCTCCAACCGGGTAAGTACAATTCTTGCAGTACTTGCTCAAAATGCTTCGATTGTTCGGCTTGAAGCTCGAATATTTTTCGACCTTCTTCATAGTTGCTGCCAAATGCTGTCCTTGAGATCACATCACTCATCATCTTTTCGAGATCAGGCCACACATCAACTTCACCTGATCCATTCGTTTTCAAGACGATTTCCTCCCAGTCACTCAACATCTCAATACAGCTTGTGTGAAATGCTGTTGTCATAAGCTATATTGAAAAGAAAGCAGGAAGAGAAAAAAAAGTAATTGGACCCCAGCAAAATCGACCATATAGCTAGCAAAGCTAACAAAAATGAACAAAAATGAGAATAGTTAGTATATGACCTTCAATTTCTCTACATGAAATGCAGGATTCAAAATTTTCCGATGCTTTGCCCATTTGGCTTCTTCCAAACTCCCAATTCCTAAAGTAAGAAGCCTAGACAGTGGACTCCCTTGAGGTTTCTGATAAATAGTATGTCTTGTCAGAACTTCCTTTACTAGTTCAGGGTCACCAAAAATCACTGCTGGAGTTGGACCAAACCATACAAAACAGTTTTTGCCTGAAAAAAAAATCAGCATAACTTTGTCAAGCTAGAAAATGGCATATGCACGGAATGTGGCAAAAATAATATGCAGAGAATATGTATATATGACCTTTATTTTGTATGGTTTGGTGAAAAAATGGCACGATTCTTGGGATGATATCATTGGTTAGATTGATCGGCTTTGACATGGATTCTTCGAGGTAATGTCTCCATCTCCTTTGTGTCGCCAAACAATAACCTGTAAGGATTTCCATTGAGCCCTTGTTCTCTCAGGCATTTCTCCAGCTTCTTTGGCCTCAACCATGCCCAGTTCAGGATTTTCCACCCCAACCAAGAAAGCCACAGTACTAGTGTAGTACTGCAAAGAACTGCAAACTTGAGGATGCCAAAAGTTTCCATTTCTGCAGAATGATTTGTATGAATTGAAGATTCTATGTAATCTAGTTGATTTGGAAGTTGATTTTAATAGGAACCTTGACTTATAAATAATCGATGTTGTCAAATTTCAGGTGGTTATATGTCAAAATAAACTTAGTCGGCTTGATATAAATATGAAAGAACTTATATAGTCTTCTAAACCATATTGGGTATAATAAAACCATATTCTCAATTGTTATATGCATGTGAACCATGTGCTCTCTCTCTCTCTCTCTCTCTCTCTCTCTCTCTCTCTCTCTCTCTCTCTCTCTCTATATATATATATAATATATATATATATATATATTTAGTTTCGTAGTGGTACTCTAGAGTACTAGCAGAGTGTTTCCGTAACTTTTTCCATCTCAAAAGGTTTTATTCGAAAATGATTATCATGTTTGAATATTTACTTTTGCACAAAAAATAATAATTTAATTCGTATATAATTTCTGGCCAGAAAATATATACATTATTTTGAGTACCAGAAAAAGGACAAATATTTTGGAATTTTTTTATTTGATTTGATTTAAGTTTCGTCTTGAAAATGAATTAAAAGTGATGATCGATGCAGCCACCATGATTACAAATCAATTGACAGAAAGCTTTGTATAAGCAGCTCCAAAATACAACTGATCATCGACTAAATTAAATGTTTGTGGGTTTTTTTCTCCCAATGATCTTTTAGGGACTATAGCATGAAGTTGATATGAAAATTCAAAGAACACATTAGAGATTTCATTTGGACAAGAAGGCAAGTTGTTCAATCAATATAATTTCAATCGTCTGGAAGGGAGGAATTAAAGGTAATGAAATTCCATCCTTTTTATGTGTTGCAAAACTAACTACCTAATTTATGTATATGAAACTGTTTTTTGTCTCTTCCTTGAAGATCTATATGAGTTAGACATTTTAATCATTTGGTTCATTAATTAGGTTGAGGAACATATTGACTTCAGCTACCAAAACTTTTACTCCATCCATCCCACAAAAATAGTCCAATTTAATTAAAAAATTTGTCCCAAAAAAATAGTCCCGTTTCGCAAAAGTCAAAATTAATTGAATGGAAATGACTTAAATATTCAAAAGAGTAGTGGTAAGGAAAATAAAGTCCATTTTTCTTTAATTTTCTCCTACTTTTTCAAATGATTATATCTTTAAATACATGAATAATTAAAAAATGTATTATATATCGAATTAATCTACGTAACGAGATCTTTCCATCAAGATTCATTGTCAATATTTTTTGAAATAAAAATTTTGATCAAATTTAAGTTGTAAAATAAATGTATATATTATTAACTTTTATAGAAATAATAAGAAGGGCATTAGTGGAAGTTAGGAGTATAAAATGAGCTGTACATTTGGTGTATTGACCAAATTAAAAAAACTGTAAATTTTCAAATTGAATTATTTTTCTGGGACGAGGGAGTAATATATTCCGGCAAAGTATACGAACTTTTATACATACTACTTACAAGTTGTACTGCGTTAGCCACTGGAAGATGCAAATTACAATTAAAAGTAAATAATATATTCCGACAGATTACCATAATAATAATAATAATCACCATCATCATCATCAAAAATATCATCATAATCAAAGACAAACTGTTACAAATGCACAACCACACAGAAACAGAAACTGATTCAACAATCACAAAAATATAATGAAGCTGGCAAGCGAAATGATAAGAAGAAGCAAATCACATTTTATTACGGTAAGGAATTGGTTTCGAGGGAAAGAAGTTCATCTGAAAGAAAAGCCATTTCATCCTCCGCCATAGTTATCCAAGCCTCAATTCCCTCATCTCCCTTAGTACTCAGTAAAATTACGCCATTCTTAATCTCCGGCGCCACCGTAGAAACGGTGATCGGTTTTCCCCATCCGAAATCCACTTCATAAGCACCCAATCTGCACCAACTCGTAAACTTACAAACTTGTACCTCTTCAGGATTCGATAGGATTCCACCAGGTTTATAAAATGCATTCAAATACGGAACACCACTTCGAACCAGGTTGATGTAATCATCATTAATTCTTCGAATCGCTGTCCTAAACATCCATACTAATTCGTGAAGCTGATTTCCTAGTGGCCAAGAAGTTAATGAAGCTAGTGAATAAACAAAAACGTTACCAAACAAATTACTGTCATATTTCAAGCTCTTCATTCTGCTTCTCAGGTTCACTGTTTGGCTCGCAACATAAACACTTTTCGTTTCGCCTTTGGCCCGCGAGGCATTGATGATTTGCTTCCATATAAAAGCCGATAACGCTTCAACCCGAGTCGGGTTTTTCACCTCCAAACCATAAAACTCATCTAAGGAGGCGTGTTTTTTGAGCTCCGACAACCTTTCCTTGTCGAACATAAACCTCTTGCATATCAGTTTTTTCTCGACATTAATGTAGTTTGGAAACGCTGAGTCTTCCGGTACCGGAGGAAAAAGTTTGGATGGTATATCAAATATTGGTTGGACTGATGTATTTGAATTTCCACCCCGGCTCAAGGCAGACCAGTAATTTACGAAGTTCATCAGCGACGAAATATCAGCGATCTTATGAGAAATGCAAACACCAACCGCCGTGCCTCCGCATTCAAAAGAACTGATTTGAACAGCTAATAATGGAATTTCATCATCATTCGGAGATGCGTATGGCTCTATTGGAAGAAACTCGTTGAGTTGGGCTACCGGGATGTTTTTCGCTGCTTCTGATAAGGCAGTTTGAACTTTAGCTTCTACAAGCAGCGCGCCGAGATCGTTGCAGTGAACGGAGAGATTTCCGGTGATTCTTCCGGCTAAGTGGTTAAATTTTGTTAGAGCATCTGATAAGGATTGTTTCAGAAGATGGTATCTTGTGGGCTGATGGGAAGATGATGATGATGACGAATCGTCTTTTGGGTAGAAGAAAATGAGAGGGACATAAATTGGTGGCTGGAATTGATCAATAAATGAGAGTTTGTGGTGTTTTTTCTCATGGGGTGTTGGAGAAGATGGCTTAATCCACTCCTTTGATGTAATCTCAATTGTAATAGCTACCATTTTCGGAGCTACTCTTCTGCTTATGGTTGATTCGAATGTAGATATATAATTATATAAATCATTCCTTATTACTAGTACAACATTGGAAGGATTCCGAGTTGGGTCAAATGAGATTATTTAGTCTGAATCAATGCATGCTAGAATATCTCACGGAGTTCAAGATAAGATTTTTTTGGGTGTTTTTTTTCGTTTACATTTACTAATTTATCATTGAGATCCGATCCGACTGGTTACGATCTCCAGATTAGTGGCTGTTCGGTTGTCAATGCACATGCAGCTACTTGAAATTTTCAATGGTTTAACGTCCAAAATTGCAACTATATATCATAGGTTTCTTTTCCCTCTTTTTCTTTCTTTTTTGTTTTTTGGCACTTACATTTCATTTATTTCTTTAACATTGAGTTTATATTGTCTAGGATCAGGGACATATATAATATCTGACCAGAATATCTTCTTTTGATCGAAATTTGGTTTTACCTTTGTATTATTAAAATATATTAACAAGGAGTATTTTTTTTGCAAGATATCTCGTCAACATTGTTTTCATCACATATTCAAAGCTCACCAATTTTGATGTGATGTTAACGTCAGACCCAAAGTATTAACGATTTCTCTGTTTAACTTGTGTTGCATTAATTATTGTAACTTCTTGAATCACTAATTAACTTTTTCGTGTTACATTCATATTGTGTTAATTTGGGGTGAATCAGAAATCACTACAATGCGAGACGTGAAAAATTGAACTAGTACAAAATTCAGAAATTGCTACTCTTGGATAATATAGGTTATCTCAAACTTAGCATACTAATTGATTTTCCTAAAATCCAACTGCAGAAGATGTAGAGAAGATCCCGTAAAAAGGAAAAAAAAAGTTAGCCTTTTTTAAAACGCTTCACTTTTTCAATAAGGAATGGATATATAAAAGATTTTTTTTTTTGTTTCGGTTTGACACAGAGAAATTCTAGATTAGCTTTTATTATTCTTATTATTATAAACATCAAATGGAACTTTCAGATCATAAAGGCCTATAATTTATGCCCATAGCAATTTAATTATGTTCTCCATGTGAAATGATGTCATAGCATATGATAGAATCTTACTCTGTTTGTCCCAAAGAAATAGCCCATGTTGTCATTAGTCTAAAAAGATATTATAATTTGGTATGAGCATGGTTCCGGTTTTAATCGGAGTTGGACCAGAACTAGATCGTCGGTTTACAAACCAGACCGAAACCGTGGGTGGCGGTTTACAAAACAGTAACCAGACCGTTTAGTCAATGGTCGGTTACAGTTCAAGTCTTCTAAAAATCGTAAACAGGCGGTTCAAACCGTCACAAACCTCCGATTAACTGTCGGATTTGTTTAAAGTATAAAAATATTAGTTATTATAAACATAAAAAGATTAATTACTTTCTTTTTTTCAAATATACTTTCATTTTCGATTTATGTTTTGTATCAAATTATAGGTCTATTCTAATTTTTAATACATAATTTCCTAAATTTTTTCCTAAGTTATCATTGTATTTTAAATGTTATTTATAGGATCTCAATACACGAATACTTTGAATTAAGTGATTGATTGATCTAATTGATTAGTGATAAAATAGAATTTATTTCATCATTTAATTATTAGCCCGTAATCCTTGTGCCACTCAATATGTAACTTTTATTTTTTTTTGTGTTAATATTTATGTTTTTGTTGTTTCTATAATGTCAATAGTTATTAAAAAAAAATTTTAATGCTACTTCATTATTTTGGATAACTTTTAAAGATTACCTTATGTACTTACTTTTGTTACGTAATAAAAATCAGTAAAATATCTGCTCGTTTTAAATAGGTTAAAAAAATGTATTAAGTTTCTTTGCTTGGCAGATAATAGCATATTTTGTACATTTGATACGTATGTGTAAAAAATGAAGAGTAAATTTTCATATTGATTGTTTTTTTGAAAAACAAAACACAAAAAAAAAATTGTATAAAAATTGGGTTAAAATGATAAAAGAACTAGATTAAAACCCTCAACAAACTGAAATAATCAGAACCGGAACCGCCCGGGACAAAACCTTAATCGGAGGTTTATGAACTGTAAACTTAAGGGCCAGTTAAAGTTCATCTTTTTCTTGAACCATGAACCAACGGTTCATGAACCAGAATCGGAGGTTCTGGACCGTGGTTATGCCTAATTATAATACACAAATGGCAATGTATACTGCGTTCTTATGATGGAGAGAGTATCATTTAATTCTAAACAATTTCCTTGTAACACATTTGTTTTGATTTAATTTATATTTATATTTTTTTGTTGGGTAAAAGGCGAATAGTATTATTCACAAAAATATCAGTTTTGTACGGCTCTATTTCCCTCTATTGGATCTGATTTCCAATTCAAAGCAGTAACGTTAACACCTACTTTTTCTGTTTTCAAAACGATTCTCTAATTCGGATTTTTATATATTTTTAATACAATTTGAAAATAAATAAATTTAAAATATAAATTAGACAATTATTTTTACCCAAAGAGTAGATTTTTTTTAAGGAACAATTTCTCACTATCTGTACTTTTTCGACGACTCCATTTGGTGCGCCATGTTATCTATTGCTTAAGGTCCCTAACAATTGTTTTTTTGGTAATTGATTCCTTTCCCCAATTTCGCTGAATTTCTCTGTTTACATAGGTGATACACGTCACCAACAACTGTATCATATCAATCGACCACATCCTAAACATTGTTCAAGTAATCCCGCGACTTGATTGTAGTATTGTCTATAATTTTGTATTTCAGTAGCCTGTTTGATGTTCACAATCTACGCTTATATGCTATTCATGCTATGAAACTGTGTTTGGGATATTATAGTTATTCCACTATACTACAGCTTTTTTTTTTTTTTTTTTTAACATTTGGGCCCTTCTATCCTATGTAATTGATATCCTGATTGAACAAAATAAAGATCAGATGTAGTTTCCATCCATATATGTCCCATGGATAACACCATTATTTGTGAGCTTGTCCTTGATCTTCATTAAACTCTTTCAGTGCCAACTCGAATTTATTTCGGGCTGGTAGTTCCATGTATCCTTTCCTTTGATATAGAATTCGAGGCGCCATTTATCGCGAACGGTGTCTTTCTTCTGAATTAATTGACAGAGCTTGCTTGCCCGAAGCAACTTCGTTCAAGTTATCAGGCTCTTTTATGTTCAACCCACCAAACTTTTGCTTCATTCCAACTATTAGGTTCTTTAAAATTCATCCATCAAACCTTTGCAGATCCTTGTGACCATTTGATTTATGTCATCCTCCTTATAAAAAATGTTACCTATGTCTAAAAAGTAGTCACATTGAGTTTTGAGAACTATTTTTTTTTTGGGACTCGAGAGTATAATATGTACGTTAAAGAATGTAATCTTTTTAGATAAGTATATGAGACATGATACATATATAGAGTACTAATTCCTCAGATCCATCTGAAGAACCAAAAAAAAACAAAAATGTATCTCGAGTAGAAGCAATACAATAAAGAAAATTATTTCTTAAAAGGAGGGACGAGTAATCAATAATAATCGCGATTTTTTGCCTTTTGCATTTAAAGAGTAGAAAGTGTAATGCAAAACTAACTACCTTTACCACCTCAATTATTTGCATAAGCAGTTGTTTCTTGTCTCTCTCTTTTTTTTTTTTTGTGAAAAAGTAAATTTATATTCACAAAATCACCAATTGACAATGAAGTTCATCAAACTTACATCTCACCTCTACTTGCTACAAAACTACTAATGGCAGTAGCCATCTCAACGATCTACTCTACCACAGCTAGCCACAAGATAAGCATATATACATACAACTACTAAAATTAACCAGGAAAAAAATGATTCAAAATCTGACTTTCTGCTCTGGTTTGCTTGCTTCTCTGACATATCAAAAACCCGCACTTGAGTTCCCTCTTAACTACCACCAACAACTCATCCGGCTTCCTCTCTTGGCCTGTGAAGTGTCTCCTGTTATGCTCTTCCCACAAGTGATATACACAAGTCATTAGAGCTGCCAGTAGAATCTGCCTTTTGAGTTTACACTTATGCCACATCTTCAACAATTGAACTTTCTAACACTGAAAGCTTTCTACAACCAAGCCACTTCACCACTAGGTACAACAGGTTTTTAGAGTAAAAACATTCAAAAAAAAATATGACCACTTGTTTCAGCAACCTGTTTACAAAGCAGACAGTTCGCATCCGAAATCACCATATGTATAGTTATCAACCTGTCCTTTGTAAGCAGGTGCTTCTTTCTTCCCAATAAGCAATAAATGCATGTTTAGGGATATTTCTACTAACCCAAACACACTGAGTTTCCAGAATTCTGGTTCTACCATCCGTAAACCATTGATACTCAGAACTGATGGTATATTCTCCATTCCTATTAGCTATTCATCTGCAACCATCAAACCCTTCTCAAAACTGATCCCGGAGCTTTTAGCAATTGCTTCCACTGCTAGCTCGAATCATTTTTTGCCTTGTCTCTCTTTCTTGAAGATCTGTTTATCGAGATTTAGTCATTTAACAGTCTGTTCAGTCGGTTGAGTATTTCTTCATCAAGCATCAGTGACATCTCATTACCGTCTTCAAACAATAAACATTTAATAGCGCAAGAAACTGCAAGGCTAAATCTGCCAAAAGTTTCCATCAAGATGCACAGTGTATTCGATCGTTTTCCTTTTCATTTTGGACTTTGTTCAAAATAAATACTCCCTCTTGATTTCTCCTATATTTCACATAGTATCCGTTTTTATTAAAGAAAAAATATTAAAAATACATTTTCATGTTGGTTGTTCTCTTAATTATTAGGAAATATTTTTAAGGTTTTATTTTTTAATTATAAATTATATATTAGGTCAAACTTACGTCAAATCAAAATGATATATAATAAGGATCGGAGCGAGTAACAGTCATATGGGAAAATTAGAACTAAGGAAATAAAAATTTTAAAATGAATAGTGCGTTTCGATCTTCGAG